CTTTTCCAGGAAGTTTTGTCCATAAAAACAAGAGGGCACTAAGTCACCAAGTTGGGTTCCAGGGGTGAGCAAAGGAGCTGCCCTGGCCTGGACACAGGGAGGGGATTTGAGCTCTGTCCTAACTGGGGGATGAATCGAAAGGTCATACCAGGGTGGAACACGAGCCAGGACTGCAACTCCCAACAGCTGAGTTAAACTGTACCCAGCTGGCTTCGGCAGCCGAGGAACGGCTCCCTAACTTCCCGTAGTTTGTACCCCCAGCCTTTGGCTCTGAAGTGGGGCAGTTTTGCCCTCTGGAACTCACTCACTCAGGCGTTGCTTGGAGGTTCTGCTTCAACGTGGAGTGAGTAACTACTGGCTTTGGGCCGGTCTGGCTGAGCTCAGCGCCTGCTCCCAGCCCCCTCCTTCCCCTCCCTCCCTTTCTGGGTTATTCTTAGCAAGAGGTGACCTCAGAGTGCTCCCACTGAGCAAAATTAACCCTGGAGGAAGTTGGTGGGTATAAATCTTCAATGAATAAATACTTACAGCTAGTAAATAGGGCATGGTGCCCCAAAGGGCCGGTTACCCCCTAAGGATCTGGTGGGCGAGGGCAGAAACTGTCCCTCCTAATACCCCTGCTGTAACCAGCACGAAGGACAAAGGCACACGCAGAGCTTGTCTGGGCTTGTGACCAGGCAGGAACCAACTTTGGACACCCTCACTTCTTACTCTGCGACGTCCCGTGGAGCTGGTGAACAGGAAGATGACTCTTCCGCCCACCCCGACGCTCACACCCACATGCAGGCTCACACTCTGGGCCAACAGAGACCAGCCTGGCATGCCGCTGTCCCCTCCTCCCCGTCAGAGGCGCTGGCCAGCCCGCAGGCCCGGAGTCCAGGTGCCAGCTCCCTTCCTAAGCCCCGCCCAGCTCTGCAGCGGCTTCCTGTTTCCTGTTGCCGGCTCTGATCTCAAGCATCTTGGCTCTGAGACCAACGCTGCAGACCAAGCCACTGCCCAATTTTAATGGGCCCACCTCTCACTCCTCAGACCACCAGTCTTACCCACTTCCCCCATGGGCTCCCTGGTATTTGGGTCAATCACCCTCCTCTGTTACATTTTCTCTGTACGCGTTTCAACCAGGTTTTTCAAACAGTCCTGCGTTCACATATTAACAATTAAAATTCTGGATGCCCAGGAGGGACAAGTACTGTGGGCTTTGAAGATGGAAGGTGTGGAATGGACTCATCCTCTCTGAACCTCAGTCTCTTCATCGGAATGTGAGGAGGGTAATACCAGCACTCCCTGCCCCCGCCACCCCCCGCCCCGCGGCCTCCACACAGGTTTGTTGTCAGCATCACATGAAGTCCTGTCGCAAAGGTCTTTGCAGGCAATAAAGTGGCCCAAAGCCCTGAGTGTTTATTCACGATCTCTCTCCTCAGTGAGGTGGGCACCAGTGCACCAGGGCTCAGCTCAGCGACCACAGTGCTGGGTGGCACTAAACATCAAATCTCACGGAAGACACAGGCTCTTTCTACCTGCTTTTTCAACCATCTGGGGTGAAAGGCCAGGCGTTTGCTTTTGTTTTTGTTACTTCCCAATCCAAGGAAAAAGGATACTTTTGTGAAACACAAAATCATATAGTTGGGTGTGGCAACAGTATCAAACTGATGTAAAGGTTTCTAAATACTTACTCTCAAATTCTATAAAGACAGGTAACAGTTTGCAGACCTGTGTCAGGTCCGAAGACCGCTGCTGTCCAAGCAAATGATTAGGGTGGGGTGGGGGAGCTTATAGCCTGTCTTTTATTTCTTGGTGTTTGTTTTGATTAATTTTACAAACAGTTCTAAAAGGAGAGCCAGTGTGGGTCATGATGGCTGAGCTGGGCTCCGTTTACACAACAGGCTTTGACGGGCAGTGGCTCCGGGGCAGGCAGAGAAAAGAGAGGCTGTGAAACATGCTTGATGTGTTCAGGGAGCAGCAAGAAGATAGGGTTTCTGTGTTTCTGTGGCAAGAGGTGGATACTGAGCAGCAGCACAGGGGCAGGAGAGATCCCACGGTGAGGAGCCAGGCAGAGCATTCCAGATCTTGTTCCATAAGAAACAGAGTCCCTGGAGATTGATTCTTGAGCAGAGATGTGCCACGGACTGTACTGAGTACAATTAAGTGTGGTTTCCTTTCAAGCTCACTAGGTTGAAAGCTAAGTCTTATTGATCTGTGTGGCCTTCCCCATCCTGGTAGGTGCTCAGGAGGTATAAAGCATTTGTCCCTGAGGGAGAAAGGGCTAGTGGGTGGGGTCTGGGTGAGGCCCGGGTGAGGGTGCAGCCAGGAGACAGGAGCAGGAATGAGTGGAAGGCACCTGGGAACAGATAGGCCTTGGGGGCAAAAGGAGGGTAGCAGTAAAGATGTCCTACCTAACCTTGGGGCTGGGGCGATGGCGAGGACACTGGTGAATGGATCTCCTGCAACCTTTGCACAAGAGCCCAGCCTGCAGCCAGGTTTTCCTCTCTTGCTTCCCAGCACTTCTCCCTCTATTCCACCTGTTGGGAACTGAGCCAAGCTCCCTCCCCTTCGCAGGCTTAGCTGGACGACACACACTCAGCTGCTTTAAAGCTCCCTGGCCAATCGTTCTCAGGGCCACAGCTGCACCAGGTCCCCAAGAAACCGCCCCTTGCCCCCCCCCCTCCATGCTCCTATGCCTGGGAGGGGAGGAGCCCAGGGCAAGCACCTGCTGCACAAGTGAATCAGATGGCCTGTGGGCCAGGGGACCATGGTTGACCGGTCTCTAGCTGTAGCACAAAGTTCCTCCTCTGCCCAAACCCCCACCCCCAGGCCAGTTTTCCCTGGGGTCGGTCTTTCTCTGTTCCCCCAAATGCGCAAGGAGTCCTTCCGCAACAGCTGCCTCGGCCCCCTGCCTCCCTAGTCAGCCTTGCCTTCTCCACACTCTCCCTCCTATCCTGGGGCCTCTCTTGAGGTGTCACCTAGGACATGGCCTGGACCACATCCAGACTAGGGAACAACCTCCCACTAGGGCTGTTGAGAAGCCCGCGCTAGGCTCCCACCCAAAAGGCCTTGCAGACGCTGGCCCCAACTTCCCCTTCAGCAGGCCAGGTATGTTAGAGTCAGCCCTGCACATTCGGACTCCGCTTTGCTGTTCGCAAAGCAGCCCTGGAGTTGAAGGGCAGGTACTACTGGTGGCCATATTTTCCCAAAATGTAGAAGTTCGGGAAGGTTGAGTGGCTTGCCTAAGATCACACAGCTGGAAAGCAGTAAACTCAGTACTGTTTCTTCTGTCAAACCAAGGGTGCTGTGGCCTCTGCAGAGGAGGGGCCTGGCCGGGCAAGGGCAACCACTAGCTCTTTGACGATTGAACCCATTTAATTCTCACAGGGGCCCTTACCATCTCTTTTAGAAGGGGACACAAAATTCCAGGTTACCCGGGTGGTCCGTGGTGGTGCCGGGATTTAAACCCAGGTCTGTTGGACTCCAAAGACACAGCTTTTCCTGCCACGCTGGCCCTGGTGCAGGCTCCCCGACTGCCATGCCCCACTCACCTCATTTGCACATCTCCGGACACATCTCCACACACCTGCCCCTGATTTCCTTGTGCCCTCTGCTCCCGGGGTATCCCCCCGGCTCTCCGTAACACACCCTCGTGCCAGAGTCAAAGGGTGGCAAGATCTTTATCTGCTGTAAGTGGGGACTCTTGTTCCCAGCACCCAGAACTGGGACAGTGGGTCATGGGAACACATGCAGATGTGGGATTATCTGTGGTCTCTGACTCAGCCTGCTCCCCCGCCTTCTCCCATGGGGTGCTCTATGGGGGAGGAAGGTGGAGGGGTGCTCCAGGACTCTGGGGGTGCAGCAACCTGGAGTCTGTTGCCAGCTAGACATTCCTTTAAAGTCCCGTTTTATCTTTCAACTTCATGTGAATTTTTCATTCCGGGCTATAAAATATCCATGTTTGCTTTAATATTAAAATGTCTAAAATTACTTACCGGTTGTATGACTTCACTCCAGCCCCACCCCCACTCCCTGCCCCTCCCCATCTTCCAGCAGGATTGGGATGGTACCCTGCAGCGCCCAGCAGCTTCCCGAGCGCCTGGCTCTGAGAACACCCCTCAGGTCCAGCTGTTGCAGCCCCCCTCCCTGCCCCTCCGCGGCCTCCTTTCGCTTCAGCCACCATGCACCCCGACTCTACCCAAGGGAGAAAATCCTGCCCTGCTGAGAACATTTCCTTGAAGGGCAGAGTTACACATCCGGAGCTCCTGGCTCCTCCTCACCTTCATGCTTCAAGTTTCCCATTCTCAGCTGGAAGGGGCTAAAAGAAAGGAACCAGCTGTCTCTGGTGCTGGCAAATAATTACTGCTCTGCCTCTGAGTTTAAGGCATCAGGAAGGCAGGCTCCGACAGCCCACAGGCCTTGCCCTCCAGAGCACTCCTCAGCTTGGGCAGCCCCAGAGCTCCCCCTAGACTCAGAGCAACGGGACCCAGCTCCCTGGGGCTTGCCAGCCTGCACTTCTAGGCCTGCTTGTCTCCGGGACTTAAACAGGGCCCAGCTCTCCTCCCTTACAAAGGGACTCATCAGCCTGCATCTCCTCCCTGCTCATTTTGATCAGATTCCCAGAGCTCAGTTCCCTTCCTTCAGGTACCCCAGAGAGGGGCTGTGGCCCCAGGGTGGGTGTGTGGATGGGGAGGGAGGGGCCTGCACAGGAGGGCTCAGCAGAAGCAAGTTCTGCCCTTTCAGTCACTGGTGGGTATCTGCCAGCATCTCTTGCTGCCCTTTCAGGAGGAAGCTGGGAGTCAGGGGCCTGCTTCAAGTCCCTGTTCTGCTTGAACTCACAGTGCAAGTGCCCTAGTCTCTAGGGGCCTCCTGTTCGATGTAGAAAAGGGAAGGCGTGAGGGTGGTTGAGGGGCTCAAAGAATGGAGAAGGGGCCACACCCCATTGCAGGGTCTTCACGTATCCCTGAAAGACACCCGTCACTGTGCACGAGCGCATGTTAGGGGTTTGCCACGACACTCACCAGGGGGTGCTTGCGCTTCCTCCCAGGCCGCCCCACCTTCCGTGCAGTTGTGCTGGGCTCCTGCCGCTCCTCCTTGCCACGGGCCTCCTCCTGCTCCTCTCCCTCCTGTGGGCACAGACACAGCCTGTGAAGCCGGGGCTGGGTCCAGCAGGCCTCCGCCCCGCCCCACCTCCACAACAGCCGCACTCCAGGCCTGCGCCATGGTGGTCCTTCAAGGCGGGGATGAACTTCACCCCCTTGCTCCTGGAGACGCTTGAGCCACCCTTAGAACCTCATTTAAATATATCCTCTGGGGACTTAGGGGCAGGCCCTGCTGCCCTGGCAGAAGGCTGCTCTCCCGCCTGGTGGCCATATTTCTGAATTGCAGAATCACGATACACGCAATGACAAAGAATTTGTTTCTGGAAACGAGTTTATTTATATGCAAAAAAAAAAAAAAAAAATCTTACACAGTACAAAAGTTAAAGTTAGATACATATTTAATAAATCACCTTCATTGAAGAAAAACAACAACATCACAAGAAAAGAAATATTAAATTTAGCAATGTAGCCCTGACCGGTGTGGCTCAGTTGGTTGGGTGTCATCCCGCAAAGTGAAAGGTCACTGGTTGGATTCTTGGTCAGGGCACATGCCTGGGTTGCAGGCTCTGTCCCCAGTCAGTGCACATATGAGAGGCAACCAATCAATGTTTTTCAAATCGATGTTTCTCACATTGATATTTCTTTCCCTCTTTTTCACCTTCCTTCCCCTCTCTCCAAAAATAAATAAGTCTTAAAATGTTTTTAGTACTGTATATTGGAAGCACATGTAACACTTGGACTGAGGACTACCATAGGCAGTGGAGGGCCCTTGCAGCTCCCATAAATATAAAATACATCCTGAAGGGTCTGACATGTGGCACTGGCATTACCTATGCCTGTCACCTTGCAGGGGCATCTCAGGGATGATGTCTTAGCTCACCTTGATCCCCCTCATTCACCAAACTTCTGGACCAGTACTTCGGTTTTGTTACCCACATCTTACCCAGCACCTGCTGGGACTGGGCTATGTTAGACTAGAGCACAGAGACCTAAACCTAGAAAGTCCTCCTGCTTTGCTGCTCCAGCCTGGCCACAAACCACCCATGAGTCACTTCTGTTCCAGCATGACTAATCACAAGCAGAAACAATGTTGGGGAAGGACACCAGAGAAAGGGACCCCGACTTGGCAGAGGGACCACAGGCTGCTCTTTGTGCCCTCCATGATGTCAGGATCCACAGATGGCTTCGCAGCCTCCCGGGGTAGGGTGCCAACTCAGAGCAGTGCTGGGGCGCTCAGACAAGAAGGGAAGGTGCACACGTTCCTTGAGGATTTATTCGAGATGGCCCTCAATGTCCCAGTCAACTTTCATTTTCTGTTACTTCAAAATATTTGTGGTTTGCCACATTAATTTTCAGGTGACAGTGGGACATGCAGAGAGCAACCTACTGCGACCAGTAGACATTGGACCATCCGTGCATTCGAGGCACGTCTGTGGGACAGACGGTCCCAGGAGGAAGACTTCGGGGCACGCCAGCTGATTCTGGGAGACACAAGTGGAAGATGAACAGAGGCGCCAGACTTGAGCACCAAATGGAGGCTACTGACAGGTTGGAGGGAGGGCAGAGCACATAAAGGGGCCGGAGAGCATTCAGAGGAGCGAGAAGAGGACCCCTGGGTATTATGGGTGCAAGGAAGGAGAGAGCTGCCAGCCCAAGAGGCTAAAGTCATCGGATGCAAAGAAGTCAAGGAAAAAGGTGGGGGTGGTGATGGTCGATCTTTCAGAGAGCACTGTCCATAAGTGGGGCAATGAGGACTGGGGGGCTGGAGAGGGCCCGAAGAGATAAGTTAAGGAGCCCAGCAGAGGGTGGTCTGGCAGAGAAGCCAGGGAGCCTGGTACCTGTCTGTGGGTGAGAAAGGAGGGCACCGGGCCAAGGGGTGAGCTCTGGGTGTCCACGAGAGCTCTGGGATGCCAGGGCTGAGGGCGGCCCAAAGGCACGTGCCCTGAGGTAGGTCAGTTCTGCTCATTCTGAGCTATCTTCCGAGACCCCATAGACAGATACCTTTGGATCTCAAAGAGAGGAAATATTATCAATGCAGCTTAATATTTGTGACGTTTTCCACTGGATCTACAAAACTATAGTGAATCTCAAGTTCAGTTGGTTCTTGGTCTGATTTTACAGCTGCTGAATGGGCACAGTCTTGATTCTTCTGACCAGGTAACTCAGCGCTTACAAAACAATCAGAGGCAATGTGAAGTGCACAACAAACCAAAGTGCACAAGAGCCCAGCCTGTCCATTTGGTAGTTAACGGATCATTCTCTCTGAGCCTCAGTTTCCTCATCCATAAAATGGGTGTCCATTCTGCCTGCTTTGCAGGTTTTTAAGAGGGCAGATGAATGAATGGTTTGTCCTTTGTCTGTTTTGTTGACTACTGGATCCCCAGAGCCTAGAACAGGCCTAGCACTTAGCAGGTCATGCCCCCCAGATGAGAGGGCTTATATATCTCCCAGGGTCAGAAGCCCGCCCAGCCCTTGCACTTGCCTGGAGAGCACTAGGCCAGACCCAGTGGAGCCTCTGGCCACTCCTAGTGGCCAGACGCATGGAATTGAACCGCACAGGGCAGCAGATGAGAGAGGGTGCCAAAGGGACCAGGATCAGCCTGGCCAGCTATGGGATCTAGAAAATCTCTTCCTGCCCAGAATTCCTGGCTCTGAACCAGTTCTTAACAAACTGCACTTCTTACAGAGGCTTCATTTGATTTTCTCTTTAAAAAAAAAAAAAAGGGTTGTATTTATTTATTTTCAGAGAGGAGAAAGAAAGTGTGAGAAACATTAATGTGTGAGAGAAACATCAATTGGTTGCTTCCTGCTCACCCCCACTGGGGACCTGGCCCTTAACCCAAGCATGGGCCATGACAGGGAATCGAACCGGCAACCACAGGCCAGTGCTCAATCCACTGAGCCAAACCAGCCAGAGGTAATTTTCTCACTTTTATTCTGAACTAGTCAGAGATGGAAAAGCCTCTGATCGGAAAAAAGGGAACCACAATTACCATGCAGAAATGACCCAAAAACAAAGGCATTGACATTTCAGGATTGGCATGTGGAGAAAGCCTTTGGGGGCCCCCTGATGGGCAACCCCTGTGCCACCTGCAGCTTTGCTGTTATTCCTCACCTTACGCCACATGTGCTCAGCCCATTTTTTTCCCTGTTGAATTCAGTTCAGTGCAACACACCCCAGGAGGAAGGGGGGAGCGCCCTGATGCCACGCCACCTGTCCAGGTCCTGACCTGTTGAGAGCGCAGACAGAGATCCCCGGGGCAGGCTGCCACGCACTGAGGCTGCTGCGGGGCAAGGTGCTTTATGCCCAGTCCAGCATTCAGGCCTCAGGCACCCTGGGTTGGGCTGGAGGAAACCAAGTCTCCACAAGAGCCCAGGCGAGGACTTGCACCCAGGTCTGAGAGACACCGTGCCCTCTCCATCAGACCCTGAAGCACAGCTTTGCGAAAAGCATGTTATTCTTGGCCAACGTAGCGTTCTTCCTTGGTGTAGTCACAAGTCTCAGGGCAAAAGGGAAGGCGATACCTTCTGCCCTGGGCCTGGCTGTGTTCACACGATGAGTTAGGAGGCTAGCACACTGAGAAGGGTGAGCAGGTGGCTGGGGGCCCTGTCCCTCTAGGAGGCGTAGCAAGGAGTTCCGTCTCACATCTGTCATGGGACCCGTTTCCTTCGATATCTTTGCTGATAGGTTGAGCATAGGAATTTAAAATATGCTTATCAAATCTGCAAGTAGCACTGAATTAGGAAGCGTTGCTAATACTCTGAGAGGAAAGAATCTGATCCACAGTGACTTGGAGCAGCTGGAAAACAGTAACAAATTTAGCAGGAACAGATCTGAGCCCAGGCTGGTTTCCTCATCTGTCAAGGAAGGGAACTAATTAGTCAATCCTTCCACTGGGAAGCGGCAGGAGGGGGCTGAACTTCTACTTAGGTGGGCTTTGGAAGGGCAGGGGTGGGCTGGACTTTTTGCTCTGTTCTTTACTAACAGATAACTTCAAGAACATTTAACCTCTCTGGGTCTCGCTTTTCTCACCGACAAAATGGGAATAATAATATCTACCTTGGCCCTGGCTTGGGTAGCTTAGTTGATTGGAGTGTTGATCTCAAAGTACTAAGGTTGTGGGTCTGATCCCAGGTCAGGGCACATAGAGGAATCAACCAATGAATGCATAAACAGGTGGAACAACAAGTTGATGTTTTTCTTTCTCTCTCTCTAAAATCAATCAATATAATAATAATATCCACCTCACAGAGGTATTACAATTACACAAGGTAATATATGAGAAGTTGACACGCAATACTCACTCAAGAACTGCTAAGCTCCTCTGCTCCCACAGCATATCCTGACCAGAACTATTCATAAAAAGTGCACCACTTCCTCCTGCCCCCAGGCAAATCCCAGCTCACTGTCTTGCATGTGCAGCCATCACTCACTGCTGCAGACACATCCCAACATCTGGCTGGTGCAGTCACAGTGAGATACTCAGGGGCACTGGGGCTCCATGATCTTCCCAAAATACAAAGCTGATTATGTCACCCCACAGAGCTTAAGCCCTTGGCGGGGGGCTCCCAGGAGCCTGCAGAACCAAGCCAAGCTCCTTAGCCTGTGCGAAGGAAGGCCCCCCCAGGATCTGGCTGGCAGTTTGGGACTCCGCTCTCCAGTGCCTTCCTCCCTCCTGTTCGCAAACAGACCGCGTCAGGTGCAAAAGCGGGCTACTTCCCAGCCCAGCACCTGGGCACAGAAGATTCCTTCTATTGCAGGTCCCTTTCTCTCAGGCAGACCGGCAAACCCGTAATTTTCCAGTTTACTTCCTGGATTCCCTTCCCTGGGTTGCCTCCTCCCATCTCCCACCTGGAATGCTTTCACAGTTCCTGCTTCTGTAGCACCCACTACCCAGCACTGCCATCAGTGGCCACTGCCCTGGCGAGGCCACCAGCTCCCAGAGGTAAGGGGCTGTGTCTTATTCATTGGGCACCCCCAGTGCCTAGGCTGATGCACCTAAAACAGGGAGGGCACTCGAAAA